ATGACGCCAAAGGTGGTCTCAAATGTGTGCCTAAAGGTACCCGACTCAAGAGAGGGTTGGAAGTTCTTCTTGAGCTCTCTTCGTGCCAAGCTGACGTAACAAAAGTCCAGAAATCGGGCAGAAGTTGGCGCCTTGAAGCAACCCCATCACTGGCGTCATGTAATTTGTTGTTTCTGTCAAATGTATCAAATGAGAACAGATGATCGGGAAAATGTGATGGGAGATCTGTTCAAAAGTTGATACTCTGTGATCGAGATCATTCTTCTATGCCTTAGAGGCCGTGGGATTCATATTTGGATAGTCCATGAAGCCTCTCCAATGCAGCAACGTATACTAAAATACATTATCGTTTTTAGATTTCAGAGCTTCCACTAGGTCTCGACTTAACGGGCCCGTCAATGTTTGTCCAAGCCTCTTTGGAAGTAAGTGAAAAGGATAGAAACAGAAGAATATTACAAAAAATAAGACGTAGTAATGCCTAGACACATATATTTGAAGCATTTCCAATGAGGCAAAAAGAATGCCTGTAAGCGTAAGCATTATCAAATTTGGGCCCGTTGGTAACAAAATTCCTGCTTGTGGACCGAAAAAAGTATTGCAGTCTGGTGACTAAAAGAAGCTGTATAAGCTCGGGTGCACATAAATTCTAAAGGAAGCGCAAAGATGCACTGAGGATTCATGATCAGTGGATCAGAAGGGGAGGAGAGGGTCGGCAGAAAGTGAGGTAATACACAAAAGTCAGTAAGAAGCGCCAAAATGTAGGCCAAATAGTCATTAAAAAAACTAGCTTTGTACAATAAAAAAATGTCGAAAATTATGGGCTTTATAGAGACGCTGTAGGCCTGAACGAAATCCTCTTCATAAAAATGGGAGACTGCAACTATACCGAGTGCCACACCAGCTTGGTCTTCATATCTTAAATTAAATTCTCCTTGTTAAAATGCCTCACCAAACTAAAACTTGTCCCAAATCTTTTACTTATTGTGGTCGCTCCTTTCGCTTGTGGATATTCAAAGAGGATAAACACTAACCGGCACCATCGTTTGGGATAATAGAGTTGCAGAGAAACAATATAATTCAGATAGTCCCTGACCTTAAGGCTGCAAACATGGCATATTTATTGATACTGCTGTTAACCTTGTCTGGGTGGAATGTGTATTATGTAATAAATCCTAAAGAGCAAAAGAGAACTTATTGTACTTATGATAAGGTTGACGTACATGCTTCTTGATAAATGATAAAATATCATTCACCCACATGTGTGCATTCATGCTAAAATACGTAACTTTATGCATATATATATATATATATATTTATATTTATATTTATATATTTATATATATATATATATAATCCATAACTATAAATATTTCTACAGGCGTAGAAAAAAATGGCAAAGGCAGGCTTAAGTGGGCCTCGAACCCAGCTCTTTGTAGAACATGGCCAACACCTGCCAGGCTTTGGGCGACATGAAACCGTCAGGCGGCGAGTTGCCTTCTTTGGCTAAGGAGCGCATTTTGGTACCGGATATGAAGAGAAATTCATCATGTCGGGCCGCTTCGTAGAAGGCCATCCGGCTGGCACTGAGGTCGTAGGCCGCCACTGCAAAAGGGAGGATGCTGAGGCCGGGCAGTCCGGGCGCCATGGAGAGAATCTGATCGGGTGCAAGAGGCAAACCAGTTGCAACAATGGCAAAATTCATTCGTAGGCTAAATTCAATGTAGCTGTGCCAACCAACGGGTCTTGCAACATAAGGTGGGCCCCTCGAGTCTCTCTAGACGATCTAATGGTTGCATGCGCGAAGAAAAGTTGGGCTTCGAGGAGTCTCTTGGTTCATAATTGCTGAACTTACTTCCATTTCGAGTGAACGTGTTTGGTGAAGAGCTTGGAAAGTCAATCCCACCAGAAGACGACATCCAGCGGATTCCTCTCGACCAATGGCCAATTTGCTTTACTGGAAGATTCATGCCGACGCTGTTTCCGAGGCAATCTCCTGCGATTCCGGTGAAAATGTGCTAAGCTTTCGTCCGTCATATGATGGACATCATCAGAGCGAGGTAACATCTTCACAACACAATTCAAGCTAACGAGTCAAGAAAACTCACCGGAAAATCCCTAAAAAGTAGTATATACACTCTACATCTGGCCTCTTTGATCAAGTATAAAAACTGGCTTTCTTTTTTGCTGTCCTAATTACTATGAGCCATCACTTCGGGTTTCGTGCATAAGTGAACACAAACAGGCACATACAAATACAGAGATAGACACACTCGCATGCATCGAAGTTGACTGTAACTAACCACTTTATACTTGATCAAAGAGGCCAGATGTAGAGTATATATACCACCTTTT